CTTTAACTGAGAGTATTTGTTAAATTACATAACTTTGAACATCTCTATTGTGGCTTACGTTCAAGCTTTTAGCCCTAAAAAATTGAAATTAAGAAGCCTTCTAAGTTTGAGTTCTCAACTTGAAGATTGATTGAAATATTTTTTGGTTAAAAACATGGCTACGCTGTTATTATATAGTTTTGATTAAAGTTAGGAAATTTATACAACACGAGAGCATTCTGTGGGGCCAGTAGTTCAGGAAAAATTTTCTTACATTGATTTTTTTTTGTTTGTGTATGATGCCATTTACATTTATCATATGAATTATGCATAATTATTACCTTTAATTCAAAATCAATTTATTACAAAATAACCAATATATGTTTTTTTTTTGTTATATATCATTTTTAGAAAATTGTTGAACCAAGTATTATCAGATCTAATATATATAATCTCCATAATCATAACACGATCGTTTTCGTATCTCCCTAATGTATTTTAAATTTAAGGAGACTATATAGTGTAATGTTAATTTTTTGCTCTCTACGAGAATCAAACACAAGCCTCTCGTTTCGAAGGCATATGCTTTACCGCATTCACCAATTGAATATAAATAAATTTAAAATATTAATTATATAGATGTTGAAGGGTGATTATTTAGTTTGTGTGTATGGTATTAAATATACTTTATTAATAAATTTTATATAAATATTAAAATTTAAGAGTAATTGGTGCAATGTTTACTGTGAGCATGTATTAGAAATATCAAAATTTAAAAATGTGATGGAAATCATATTGGATAAAATTTAAAATAGAGGTGCTTTAAGATTTTTGAATTTTAAATATGGGTTATAGATTGGTCTGAAATTTTTTTTGCAGACATAGCCAGGCCTGATTAAAAAACCATGGGTTGAAGGGTAATTATTTAGTTTGTGTGTATGGTATTAAATATATTTTATTAATAAATTTTATATAAATATTAAAATTTAAGAGTAATTGGTGCAATGTTTACCGTGAGCATGTATTAGAAATATCAAAATTTAAAAATGTGATGGAAATCATATTGGATAAAATTTAAAATAGAGGTGCTTTAAGATTTTTGAATTTTAAATATGGGTTATAGATTGGTCTGAAATTTTTTTTGCAGACATAGCCAGGCCTGATTAAAAAACCATGGGTTGAAGGGTAATTATTTAGTTTGTGTGTATGGTATTAAATATACTTTATTAATAAATTTTATATAAATATTAAAATTTAAGAGTAATTGGTGCAATGTTTACTGTGAGCATGTATTAGAAATATCAAAATTTAAAAATGTGATGGAAATCATATTGGATAAAATTTAAAATAGAGGTGCTTTAAGATTTTTGAATTTTAAATATGGGTTATAGATTGGTCTGAAATTTTTTTTGCAGACATAGCCAGGCCTGATTAAAAAACCATGGGTTGAAGGGTAATTATTTAGTTTGTGTGTATGGTATTAAATATACTTTATTAATAAATTTTATATAAATATTAAAATTTAAGAGTAATTGGTGCAATGTTTACTGTGAGCATGTATTAGAAATATCAAAATTTAAAAATGTGATGGAAATCATATTGGATAAAATTTAAAATAGAGGTGCTTTAAGATTTTTGAATTTTAAATATGGGTTATAGATTGGTCTGAAATTTTTTTTGCAGACATAGCCAGGCCTGATTAAAAAACCATGGGTTGAAGGGTAATTATTTAGTTTGTGTGTATGGTATTAAATATACTTTATTAATAAATTTTATATAAATATTAAAATTTAAGAGTAAAAGAGGTAAAATTGTTGCAATGTATACTGTTAGCATGTATTAGAAATATCAAAAGTTAAAAATGTGATGGAAATCATATTGGATAAAATTTAAAATAGATGTGCTTCAAGATTTTTGAATTTTAAATATGGGTTATCGATTGGTCTGAAATTTTTTTTGCAGACATAGCCAGGCCTGATTAAAAAACCATGGGTTGAAGGGTAATTATTTAGTTTGTGTGTATGGTATTAAATATACTTTATTAATAAATTTTATATAAATATTAAAATTTAAGAGTAAAAGAGGTAAAATTGTTGCAATGTATACTGTTAGCATGTATTAGAAATATCAAAATTTAAAAATGTGATGGAAATCATATTGGATAAAATTTAAAATAGATGTGCTTCAAGATTTTTGAATTTTAAATATGGGTTAAAGATTGGTCTGAAATTTGTTTTGCAGACATAGCCAGGCCTGATCAAAAACCATTTTAAATGCATTGTGACTTTTTATATATTTTATTTCAGTCCTCAACTATCAAAATTATTATGGTCTTTTGCGGGTTTGAGAAAACCAAGTGCGAGGACCTGTCTTGAGAATTTTTTTAATATTAGGCATAGGTGTAATATTTAACACAGAATATTTATATGGCCCTCAGGTAAAATCTAAATTTAAATATATTTTTATTCAAAAAAATAGTATTCACTCTTACTCTTAATGGGTTGGCCTGGGATGGGGTGAGCTGGGTTAAAATAGACTAAAAAATAGATATGGTTTTTAGAGATTTAATCTCCAGGCTTGGAAAAAAAATTTAAATTACTATCGGTTGGCCAGGTTTGAGTAATTTTTTTTATAAAATTATTATGGGCTAGGCTTGGAAATATGTTTATAAATTATATTGGGCTGAGCTTGGGGAAAATTTTTCAAAATTATTATTAGCTTGGACGCTTGAGAATTTTTTTATTATTAATTATAGGTCAGACATTGGCCCAAAACAAAATTTTTTGCAGGCCTGGGCTTGACCTGATCAAAAAACCAAGACCCATGAAAATCTGAATTTTAATTGTATTTTTAAATTCACTATGATTATTTAAATAATTTATTTCAGTTCCTAACTGCCAAAATTATTATGATCTTTCGTTGGGCTTGGAAGAATTTTTCATAATTAATATGGCTTTGGATTTTGCCTGGGAATATTATATTAAATATTAGGTATAAGTAATCAGTAATATTTAACAAATAATATTGGTATTATCAAGTAAATGCTTTAAATTTATTTTTACTCAAACCATAGCACTTAGTTTTAATGGATTAAACCTGGCCTGAAGGGATGAGGGAGTAAGAAGAATAAAAATTGGATATTATTTTCAAATAACAAGTAACATGCATAAAATTAAGAAGTAAATTCTCATTCCCCGTCATTTTCGACAGGCTATCTACTAGTTTAAAAATAATCCCCAACTTTCCTATGTCATTCCAATTGAAGTGTAAAGTCATAGTTATTACGAACCGACCATGTTTAATGGATATTAATTATTCTAAAATCTTATAACTTCAAATCAGTGGCGACGCTACGGGAATGATTTTCGGGTTTGGACACCTCCCAGAGCAAATTTTTTTTTTAGATTATACGTTTAAAAGACTTAAAAGTGTCCTTTATATCAAATAAATCCCATTAATATTTATATTTTTGGGTTTTGATGTTTGTGAAAGGATTATTATATTACTGTTGAAATTATTCTGGGTAGTATTATTATAGAGTCATTGAGAATAATCTACGATGCATTTAAAAAATATATTTATTATATATTATCGAAGATATGGTTATTGATTTTTAAGATAAACCTGGCCTAAGGCCCGTTAAAAAGGGTCTGGGAGGCGAAGCCCCCCCCAAGCTTTTATATGTATGGACCCCCTCTAAGGAAATTTTTTTAGCTACGCCACTGCTTCAAAGTAATGTTCATAGAATAAGATCTCATATAATGTGATCTTCCTAACTTTACCATATGGATAATGCCATCACTTTAAGCGACCAATATATCTATAAACAAAGGCCTGTTAAGAAAAATAAGAAGAAAAGAATTAAATGGAATATATATTTTTTAAATAAAAAACCAATAAAAGATTAAATAATTAACGTTTATATAATACAATGTTATTATATTATCATCATCATTATATTTTATTATATAATATAAAATAAATTTAAAAAGTAAGCATTGGGGATAGAAAATCGATAAAGCTACCATATATGAATAATACGGATATAAATAGGGAAAATTAAGGCTAGCATAAAAAAATAAACATATACATATAATATATATCTAATATAAATAAAATTTTTGCAAAGGTTTTCTCGCGCAGATTAATCATGTTAGTTTAATTTTTGATTTAATATCATAAATTTTTTGTAAATATTTCTTTTTTAAAAAAATAAATAAAAATTCAATAATAATATTTTTTTTCAAATTATTTCCTATGATGCCACCAACCATTTCTTGAAAGATATATATATATAACAGGTAATAATTATAATGATAAAATAATTATTTCATTTTTATTGTCCGTTTAAAAAAGTTATAGTGATAAAGCTTAAAGATTATTTATATTAAATCACATTATTATGTAATTTATAACCCAATGAGAATAATATAAAAGTTTACCCTGCATTCAAATTTGAAACTTTTTTTTTAGCTATGGAAAAGATAGCTTGTTTTTAACTTTATATATATTTAAATATTAATTTTTAACATATTCGTAAATCAAGACAAATCATTATTTAAAAAAAAATATTACTGTTGTATTTATAAAATCAAAATATATAATTTTTATAGCAATAATTATGGAAAAAATATATTTTAATCGAGATAATCTTAATTAGAATAAATTTTTGGTTATATTTGTTACCTAGTTTCATATTTCTTTCAAATTGTCATGGTTAAAATATAATAAATTGTAAATAAGTGATATTTAGCATAGAGTTCTTAATAAATATCTTAAAATACAATATAAAATGTGATTTAGTCTAAAAAACATGTAAATAGGCACCCACTCGGTTCGATTTATTTAACCGTTACGACTTAAAAACTCATATAATACCAACAATTCTGAATGTATATTTTAGTTTATGAAATGAAACATGTTCAAAATTTTTCTCACTTAAACTTTATACCCCCCCCCCCACCTCATCTTTAACACACATATATATTTTCTTATATTTTTAAATTTTTTTTTACCATAAGAAAAATATTTTAGAAGATAAGCAGCGGATAAAAATCCAACAGGCCGGTGCTATTCATTATCACTCCAGACACAATATACTAGAATATGACGACGGAAGTCAAATATTTCTGTCGACCGATGATAAACTCAACGATGGTGACACATCTAGGTTGATATCCTCGCCCTTGGATAATTCCAAGGATATCAAAACGGGTTAGTAAATTTAACATCTTGAAATTCTAATTTGAGTGGCTTGACGTTGTGTTTTTATTACTTTTATTAATAATGAATTATCAAAATATTGCCGGTATAAACTTGGAATTTTATGTTTAAATGCCCATTTTTTTTTGTGTGTGTAAACTAATTAATCGGATATAAAAAAAAATTTTTTTATAAGCAAAATCATTTATAAAAATATTATTTATAAAAATATATCAAGGAAATATGCATTTCATGCGCCATAAAGCACCCAATCATAGCTCATCTATGGCAACTTTATTGCCGGGGGCTGGGCAAGTATCCGAAGAAACAGATGGGGACGATTTCTTAGGTCTTTTGAATATTTTAAGAAAAAATAATTAAAATTTGAAGTTAATAAAAATAAAAGATAAAATTTATTTATAAAAAATTATTTTTTATTATAACCACATTTCATACATTATTCATTATATAAAAAATTTATTTTGCTATAAATTTATATATATATTATTAATTATTACCAAAAAAAAATAATAGATTTCATTTTAAAATTTAATTTAATCGGTAAATATTAATTAATTTTTTTTTAAAAAAATATATAAAAATAATAAATTAATCTTCAAAATTTGATTTTTTTCAAAAAGTAGATTTTAGGAACGAAAGAGCAATATCCTCTTACGGAAATACCACCTGCTCAGAACTCGAAATGGAGGATGAAGAGAGTACTCCCATATTTCCTAACAATTATCGCGAAAGCCCTCAGTACAGGAAGGAGGTCGATCCTCTAAAGCGGACAAATGGTCTTAAGGCTAACGATGACAATCACGTCATATATCTGAAAGATGATATGTTCGTCAACAAAGAAGAGATCCAAGAAAAGGTTTTCTTATTTGATGTTATATACATATATAAGTCGTATGGGGTTTTTAATTCATTTAATAAGGGCGATTTTTTCGCATTTTAAAAAATCTTATTTTTTACAGGAATCATATTCCAGTCCAGCATGTGTAGAGTTATTTACACTATAAATTTCATAGCCATTTTAGTATTCCCCCCCCCTATGTGAATGTAGGTATTCTCTTGGTTCCGCCAATCAACATCACAGCTAATAAAATTTATACGAAAAATCCATATAAAAATTCATATAAATTTTAGAAGTAAGTTTTCTAAAGTCTCACGGAAAAAAATTGTTTGAAATTTACAGTTTTGGGTACTCTACCCATGCTAGCCTCCATATCGCAGGGATTAGCTCATTATCAGGTGAGACATCCTGGAATCCTCCATTTCCGGTTGAATCCTTTTTGGATCGCCCTTGCTAAAGGATTTTGAATCAAGAGATTCCGAATTCCCACTCGACACATATTTATAAATTTATTTAAAATTGTAAAATATTCATATTTCAAATTAAATATAATTATAATATATATATATATATATTAAATATATTATATATAGAAAATCTATAAAAATTCGATTTGAAAACCCTATATATTTAATTAATCTTATAAAATCAAATTTCTAACGAAATTCAAAATGGCAAGCAAATTAATTCGGGGCTAAATATATGTCTATTTTTTTTTTACTTTCCTTCTATATAACAACCAGAGTTGTTAAAAGATACTTTTTAAATGGATCTAGATACAGATACATCGTCTAAAATAATATCTAGATACCGATATTTTAATCAAAAATCTATCTAGATACAGATACAGATACCACATTTTTAAATCTAGATACAGGGTCTAGATACTTGTATCGAGATCCTTTAACAACTCTGATAACAACCCCCCAAGTAATATTAATTATTTGGATTATACATTGCTAATTATTTTATTTTTCCTAGATAAGCGTAAGCCTTTATAAAAAATATCATCTGTCAAATAGCGGTGTTTAACGGCTCGTTTTGAGCCGATTTTTAAAAAAAGGGCGAACTCGATACTTCACCCAGAAAAATGTTCCCTGAAGATTTTGCTCATAGAAGGAACCAAGTTCTAGGCAGGGCAATATTTTTCTGGCTAAAATATTCAGTTAGCGCCGTTTAACAACATTTACTTTTAAAGAAGATTTTATATTTTTAACATTTTCACAATAGAATCCTAATTTAGGTTTGCGCAAAGCTTATAATTAGAGTATAATAAAAAATCGTATCTATATCTAGATACATTTTAAAAAAAAGTCTATCTGTATCAGGATACACTTTTTTTGGCCCTGAAAAATATTGTTGAATTATCAAATGTACATCTCCTATTATCAGAGTTGTTAAAAGATACTTTTAAAATGGATCTAGATACAGATACAACGTCTAAAATAATATCTAGATACAGATTAATTAATCAAAAATCTATCTAGATACACAGATACCACATTTTTATATCTAGATACAGGATCTAGATACTTGTATCTAGATCCTTTAACAACTTTGCTTATTATACACGTATAAAAAAAGACGAAAAAGTCCGATAACTCTAACACACTTCTTATCGACAAGGACGACGAAAATTTAAACATAAACGAGACTCCCGTAAACAGTCACACGGTCAATCCCAACGAAAGTACGGATGCTAACCTACCTCCATTATCAGAGATTACGGAAAATCTGGAAAGATTCGCCCTACTTCCGGCTCCCAAGGGAAGCCTCGTGAAATGTCGCATATCTAGGGACAAGAAAGGCATGGATAGGGGAATATACCCTACTTACTATCTACATTTAGAAAGGGATGACGGCAAAAAGGTAATTATAGGGTTGATAATTAAGGAATGATAATACGGGATTATCACGTTTTAATCGTGATAAAGAGGAATCTTATTTTAAAAGCGTTTTCCGCGAGTTTCGTTGCGTTTTTAATTTTCAATTTTGTTTTTTTTTTGGCCTTATGATATAAGATATGTCTAGTATAAGGGTATCATTCGATAGCTAATCAAAAGATTTATTCAACTGGAGGTCAATCTCTGCCCCAGTGATAATACCGTATAGTTCTTTATCCTTTAAAAAAATTGAAATTTTAAAGGGATTCCTTTAAATCCCGCGAAGATCCCGGATAGTCATGATCACTTTAAAAATTACGACATGTATATATATACTATTAATTTATCATGAATGGGAGGAAAAAAATTTTTTTTAAGGATTCTTGAAAAAATATCTGGCTATTTGCTCGAATAACAGACCTTTAACGGAGATGTTTATTTATGACTGAATTTTTCTATTGTCAAATATTGATTGTGTCTTAGGGGGTTGGTTGCCCTTTTTGGTTGAATACAAATTAAATCGAAATTTCTAAGAACAATTTTTTTAGGATTATAACCCCCCAAAAATCTAGAAAAATATAGGCAAACGTTTTCCATCCAAAAAAAAATTAAAATAAATTAAAATCGTTCACAAAAAAATATTTGGTCAAAATCACGAGAGTGTAAAAAAAAGTAAAATGTAGAAAATATATTTTAAAAAAAAATTATATAGGGTTTAGGGTTAGGACACTTTTTGTTTCTAAGCACAGAATTATAATTAGGTATTTGAGCATGCCGTAAATATATATGTTAGTGTCAACATGTTTTTTCCAGCTTTTTTTTTTAAATTTAAAATTTTGATTTTACCGGAAATACGATTCCATCATCATGTCAACGACATATATATGATACCTAGACTGACGATTCGTTCGTTAAAGGTGTACATCAAATGCAAATCATCTGGAAACGCCATCTTGGTTACACTAATCATTATGAGCCTAATATATTCCTACATCCGATGCAAACTTTATTAAAGAATTACCGGATCGTCGAGATAATCATCAAGGAAGCAAGTTATCGATTTTAATAGTAGTTTTTAACGTGAGAAAAATTAACTCTAAGTGTTACCAAAATGGCGGGTACAGCTGATTTGCTTTTTAACGACGCTTAAAAATGCATTTTAATGAATGAATGATCAGTCTAAGTTTTATACATGTCATTGCGTCATGCTCGGAAAACCTATCTTATTAATTCTAGAACAATTTTGCTGTTGACCTTTGAGTCATTCATAATTTCTGTAGAATTTTTATGGAAAATCGAATATAAATTAGTGCTGTGAAGTAACGTCAAAAAAGTAACGACATTCGTTACCTTCATCTAAAAGTAACGAGTAACGGTAACGCGTTTTTTTTTGTAGTAACGGCTCTCAAAAAACGCTCTCAAAAAAACTAATAACACATTGCCGGAAGAAAACAGATTTGACGTTAATATTACATTTATACATACATATATTCAGAATCCAGTCTAATGATATATAATCTATATTATAAATTTAAAAGTTTTTACACCATACTTTTTATGAAAATATTACATAGTATAATAATATTGAAAATTAATATTGAAACATGTGGGACATCCTTGTTTTTAACAACTCTATACATTATTGCTATAAAATAAAGATAGATTTATATTTTATAAATAATTAAAATTTAAAAATTCATTCAGGTTTTCTTGTTAGCGGCTAGGAAGCGGAAGAAAAGCAAAACATCGAACTATCTCATTTCCGTCGATCCCACAGATTTAACAAGAGGCGGCGATTCGTTCGTGGGTAAACTTAGGTAATATATTTTTTAAAAGAACGCCTTTTACATTCATGTATCTTAGTTTGAGGAGTAAATGGGTATGTCTTAGGAGACCATAATCAAAATTTTAAAATTTAAAAATAATTCTCATATACTAAAAGGGGAATCGGCATAAAAAAATAGGCAGTTTTCAAACTTCAAAACTTTCTATATATATACATATTTTTTTTTAATGTTCAAGATCTAATATGCTAGGAACCTCCTTCACCATATTCGACAATGGAGATAACTACAAGCGAGCGCAATTCACGGGATCTAATTTGAGAAAAGAATTGGGGGCTATCATATATGTAAATACTTTTGGATATAAGATTGAAAAAAAAATAATACAGAATACATTGATTATTATAAAAAAGGAAGAAAGGAAGGAAGGAAGGAAGGAAAAAAAAAGAAAGAAGAGGTTGGAAAATGTGAGTGAGAAATTTCTTAGCCTAAAAATTTTAGTGATTGGCCGTATTATGGTATGGAATCCCATTGGGTGATTAGTGCAATCTTTTAATTTTGATTCATTTTTACTGATATGCCAATTCCGGGAAATCTGATTTGACCGGAAATGTATTTCAGCACATAGAAAACCGGCAACTGTGAATTTCAGACATGCCACGAACATTCGAACCGCACTTAACTTGTGCTCATTTTTATACAGATAACTTCATATAAATTGACTAATACACAAAAATTTAATGACAAAAATTGTCTGAAATTTCGTAGGATAGTTTCTAAGTTTGCTGGAATACATATTTTCCAAATCCCCCATAAATTCCATGTCCAAACACGATATGATATACCCAATTTTTAGAAAAAAATATGTATATTTATTCAGTCTGGTCATGCAGAATTTATATTTTTGTCTAAACTGATACGACATTACAACATGTATAGTTCCTTGCCAATCAAACAGATAATTTTAGGAATGCATAGTCGCCATAAGGTCTGTTTGATCTTTACCTCGGAGAACTCCTTGTCTAATATTAATTTCGTTTCAGCAATAATGGCTCGAAAAAAAACAGCTATTGTTGCGAAGAGTGTTCGATAAATATGTGTTCTGTAGAAGAAAAAAAAACAGATGAGAATGAGATAAAGAATTTTATATATTTAAATCGAATTAAGTCATAGTGTTATATTTTAGAGCATAATCTTATCCGATATCTGCCAACTAATCATATTAGCTCCCATAAGTCCTTTCATCATAATGCAGTTTTCATTTATTTTAAGTTTAAAGAATATTTCAGGAATGAAAACTTGCTACCTATAATAGCTTTTGATGACAATATCCAAAAATCTCTTAACGGTAGCCTGAGCTATGGTTTTAGACTTGCTGTTAGCTGACAAAGAAGGCCATAACTTCTCCAAAGACTTAAGATTTAAAATTCTATACAATATTCCCACCGCAATAATCTATTAATGTTGATTATGTTGAACTAGCGATTATAATGTTCAAGACTAAGAAAATGTATATTGACACTTGTCAATATCTTTGACGGGACCAGACAATTCATTGCTAAGTTTAAATTCGTTTCAAGAAAAAATTTGAGAAACAGCAGCTCATTCTATA